CTTAGAAGTCTGACCAAAGTTGCTTATACATCAGTGGTTTTTAGGTGTGTGTGGAAATAAGCATTTATGGATTCGGATTCTGTTCTTGCTATTACCTACAGGTTTTTTTTTTTTCTGTGTGGTGGGAAGGCCAACTTAGTGAGTGGCCCACGTTGCAGTCTCTGCTAGGCACAATTTTTTCTACATAAAGTAATGAAGAATTTTCAGTAGTTTATGAATTTTCAAGTAGATGTTCTGGTTTCTGAACTCAAACCATAGAAATTTGCTTTGTCTTTGAGGGAGATTACTCTGCATGTGTGTCTGTTCTGTTTAAAACAAAACAAAAAAAAACCAGCCAACAAACAAAACCTAAAAACCCAAAACATAACAGCAACAACAAAAACTTTATTTTCCACTTTCTTCACTTGATAAAAATCTCTCCACTGTAGAATGATTTCCTTTGGGTTTGACACCACCATTTGATCTCAGTTTTTAATAATTTTGGTGGGTTTCACTCCCAGAAGAAAACATGCTTGTGCTGTGAAGTATTCCCACTAGAAATCTGGGAAGTCTTAAAACCTCATGTTACTGAGGGCAAAGAGCTGGCTTTTTTATTAATTCCCTGCTAGACAACCCCTGTACAGTAAATCTTTCCATAACACCATACTGTTGAAATTAATCAACTTGATGTTTGGAAATTGTTCAAATTAGATAAAATTAAATAACACCTAGATGGGACTCAAAACTTGTTCTGATGGAAAGAGATTTTAATCTAAAAAGACATGAATTTTATTGGTGCCTTTTCTTTCTAGTTGATCCTCATTTTGTAGTTATTAAGATGCACAAGCACTGCTCCCTGTTTAATGGCTGGGGAGAGTTGGGTGGCTATAAGAGCTCTCAGCTTTCTGCTCTTCTGTGCAAGCAGACCATGCAAAGAAGTTAAGTGCCATTAGTATCACATCTGTTACATAAAAAAGCATTTGCTGGACCGAGTATTATTTGTAAATAAACAAAAGAAACAGTGCAGGACTTTTTAATACCTGCTTTCTTCTCTTCCTTCTAGTTTGTCATTAGAAATCTGCAGCTTTTACTTGGAAGTCTTACAGCTGAAAATGTTTTCCAGGGAGCTTTATGATTGCAGGTTGATAATACTTTTAACTGGCTCTAAGTTCTTTTTTGTAAAAATGAATGCTGTATGCAGCATATTATCTCAGATTTTCACTTCGCTAATGAAATACCTATTTATCTTTCCTTAATTTTTAAAGAATTGATTACTCCTCAGTGAAATAAAACTATAGATTAATATGGGCAAAGAGGAGAAAATGTGCATTTGGTCTCTTTGATACATGTTTAATTTCTTCTTAATTTCTCTGGCCTTTAGAAGAATCTTGGCAAAAAGTGCAAGTGTGTTTACAGAGACTCTGTGTACATTGCAGCTTTTCCATGAAAGCAGCAGCAGAGCTTAAGTCTCATCTCTGATTTGCTTTAAATGTGTATGTTATACAGAGGTGCTGGTTGCTGCTAACCATTTTCCTCTTATGGATAATGGTGGGAACAGTTTTTCACTGCTCTCTTTCGTTGGTTAGATGGAATTCGTGCTGTGTATGGATGTCCTTATAAAAGCCTTTCTGTAGATCTTGGTTTATGCTCCCCTGACATTTTATGCAGATGCCATCTATATGGGGTCAAAGCTCTGCGGGAAGCGTGAAAGAGCTGTTCATGAGTCAGTTACGTTAATCAAAATCAAGGAGTAAAAGCCTTTAGTGTGATTTGCGATTGCTGGTAATGTTTTGTGTGCATACCAGCGTTGTGTTTGTCTTTTAAGGAAACAAACTCTTCCCTTTTTAGCCCTCGGAAAGCTCCTTGTTTTCTCCCTGTGTGAAAAGCAGTGCCGTGTGTCATGTACCATGAGCTGTGCAGCATCGCTGCCCGCAGCCTCTCTCTGAAGCTGGGAGAGCGGGTGCGCGCGATTTCAGTGCTGGGGGCCTCAGCCTGCTCGGTGTGTGTGCACAGGCAAGGGAGGATCGCAGGGATTCTGGCTGATCCCTCGTTAGGGAAGGAGCTGAGGAGTTCCAGGGTTTATGAGTAAGGCTGGCTTGCGCTGCAGTAGCACTGCATGTGAGACTATTATGGATGCTTGGTCTCCAGCTCTCTGAGTACTGCTCCAAGTTCTTCCACTGGAATGACAGTGAGTAGTGACTAACTTGTATTGCTCTCTCTAAGGGTCCTGTAGCGAGCTGGAGGTGTAATCTATGCAAGTAGGAGCAAGCCATGGTGTATATCAGCATGTAAAGAGCACGTTGGCGTCTGCAGAAGTTTTATCTTTTGATTCCAATGTACTGAAAGTGTATTTATTTTCAGGTAACATTAAGAAACAGAAGTTTGAGGTAGTAAGTTCGTTGGAGTTTAACTCTCTCATGTGAAATAGAGAGCAAAGCAGTTGAAACTTCCTTGGAGTGAGATTGGCTTGGAAATAACTTTGATTGCTGTTGCCTTTTTTTTTTTTTTAATCAGTATTAAGATTCCAGGTGCTATAGTGAGAGGCATGAGAATAGGTCAGTATCAGATCACATCAGACAGATGTGGTAACCTGCCCTTTGCTCTCTGTTTTTAAGGTACTAATAGCAGCTTATCATCAGTTACTCTGGGTCACTGAGTTCAAATATGTTTTTCCAAAAGCTGTTTCTTCAGCAGGGTTCCTGCAAGCATGGGAAGCAGGAAGGGGCAAGAATGTCATTGTGGACAGGAGTTGTGTGGGGTCCTGTGTACTGTCCATGAAGTGATATAATGTATGGCATCCGTTCTAGCATTTGAGATCCTGTTTGTACTCAGACAGCAAAGGATGAGTGTAGAGAATAGGTGCTACTCCTGTGCTGAAAAAGAGATACTGTGGTATGACAAGGAAAGCATCCAGCAGGAGCATAAAAGACGGTGTGACATCCCTCTCATCAGTTTGCTTCACCACCTTTTCTGTCTTGCCAAAATGTAATTTACATGACTGATATTACAGCTTCAGCATTTGGCCAATTATCTTAATCTTTTGCTAAGACATTAATAGCCCCATCAAAAGTGCTGTGACAGCCTGTGTGTTCGACAGGACTGGAAGTTTGTCACTTAAAGAGGCTTATTTTTGTTTTAACTAGTTAAATGGTGTATGGGCAAATAGAATTCAAATTTTAACCTTTGATAGGAAAAGAAATTTTGTCACTTATTTCAGAGGAACATGATCACCCATGTGCTGTCTCTTCAGGAAAGCACCTTGAGATGTTTTTTTTTCACTGAATTTTTTTAGCACTATGTGTTAGAATCTGGCTGCTTGAACTTGCAAAATGCATCAGTTTAACCCAGAATCAAGCAGTGAAGAGGGAGCAGTATCAATGTGATGCTGTAACCTTCTTTCATGTTACTTTGAGGTGTGTTTTAAAACAAAGAACTGAAACACATCAAGTGGATATTGTAGTGTGTAGCTTCTGCAGTTAGGATGTCAAATTGAGAGCCACTCTGTGCTAGATAAGTCACTAACTGAGAATTGTGTAGCTAAAATATATTTTAAAGTAGATCTAGTTTCTCAAAATTCAAGACAAGGAGTGTTTAAGTCCCTTAGCAAATACTGATTTGACTCTGTTTATTTCAGGGGAGGGTGACTCCTTCCGAAGGGATACATAGCTATTGGTTTGTAGATATGAGTTTTTGAAGCTACTGACAGTAGCTTAAAAATATTTAATAGACTTTGTGAAGGAGAACTGAAATGTGGCTGTTTCTTCTTTTTCCCTTAAAGAAGTGTCTGGTCCAGGAATACAGTAATTTTTAAAATTTTTTTACAGTAAGTGTCCGAAATTCATAAATACACTCAGATATTTTTTGTAGTTATTGTCTACTGGAAATTATTATATTTCATTCTCAAGAAGAGGATTTAGAGGTGAACTTGCTGGTGATGTTATGAGCCTTAGATGGCCCATTTGGAAAACTGCTTTAGGCTGAGATTGTTCTCTGCACCAATATTTTCTAGTTTACCTAGGGACTAACAAGTGATATGTAACCAGTTAAAAAGTGTCTGTGACTGGAGGTAGACTGGCCTGTAGCAGGTGGTGGAAATGGCCATGCAGTTCTGTAGATTTTCAGTCTGTTCCCTCTTCCTTCTGGGAATGTGCTGTGGGGCTGTTCCTGCAAATTGGCACGTTTCTCTACTGCCTGCAGTACTGAATCCCTTAAAGTTCATGCCTCACAATTTTATCTAATGCCATAGATAACTTGATCCTGTCGCCACAAAAGTAGATTTGCAATACAACACAACAAAATTGAATCCAGACCACCCCCTGAGTTTTTCACTTCTGTGGTTCCTCCTGATCCTTGATTTTTTTTCCAAAAGAGTTTGTTCTCACACTCCTCATGGATGCAGTGAAGACAGCCATTGGTCTCTCTGTGTCTGAGTGACCATCAGCTGGTAACAGCTTTTTGTTGAAAATTATAATTGTATAATTTTCAACAAAATCAATTCAAAAGTATTTTTGTTGTACAGTGAGAAGACTGGCCATGGTCTGAAAGTGCACAAATATCCCAGGGTCCCCCAAGGGGACCAGCCTCTGCTGATTTCTCCATACTTTCACTGTGTAGAGAGAAGCAGAAATGGCATTTGTGGGTCAGGCTTTCATATGGCTGAATGTGGAGAAATTACTTCAAAGAAATAGGGACATTCATGGAACTGTACAAGACTTCTGCAATGTTGAGAAAGTCTTATTAGGAAGTCTTGTTCATCTTTGTTCTGGCTATGATTCTGTTCCTGAACTGTATTCTCTAGAGCTTTTAGTGTGGTTTTTAAATGAGTCAAGTGATGAGACTTTAGTATTTTCCTTGGAAAGAAAACAAAAGTTATCCCACAAGGAAGAAAGGCAGATTTCCACTTATGATGAGTCTTCTAGGAGGTGTGTTAATGTACAAGTTTAATTAGACACGTATGACACAGTTCATGTTCCTCTTATTGATGCTTTGTTGGTTTTTTTTTGGTGTTTTTTTCCATGTAGGTTTGATGATTCCAGTCTTTTGTGTGGTGGAGCAGTCAGACGCCTCTCTTGAATACGATAATCGAGAAGAGCATGCTGAGTTCGTTCTGGTTCGCAAAGATGTGCTCTTTAGCCAGCTGGTGGAGACAGCGCTCCTGGCTCTGGGGTATTCCCACAGTTCTGCAGCTCAGGCACAAGGTATTCAATAGTTTTTTCCCACTTCTCTGCACTGCAGAAGACAGCACCTGAGGTTGTTTGATGTAAGGAAAAAGTAAGAAAATTGGGAGCAAAACTTGGAAGTGTTTATATCAGTTGTGTTAATTGCTTAATCCTAAACTAGGGGTATAACAAGCCCTACATTTTTAGCCTGTCTAGAAAGCATTAGCTAGATCTTGCTGAAGTGTGAAATCTGTTGATAATGATCAGTCAGGATATTCATGACACGCTTGTTCTGCACCACGAGGCAGGTCGCTGCTTCAAGGAAGTCAGAGCAGAAGATACAACCTTTAGGTGTACAGCCAGATGGTATCCAGTATTTCTCTTTGTGTCAGGGCAGTTTTGAACAGCATATTGTAGTCTTGCATTTTTTAAATTACGCATTGTAGATAATGTTTTCATATATATGCATGCTGTCTTTATGGCAAATAGTTGAAGGACTTCAGTGTGCAGGCTGATTTCTGTTTTCACTTACCTACTATATTGCTGCAAAACCCTTTGTAAAGCACTGTAGTCCCTTCCACGCAGAGATTATTCTCTGTTAGCAGCAAAATCTTAAAATAAACAAAGCTTTCCTCTCTCTACCCAAAATATAAGCTTAAAAAACCCAAGTTTAAAATCGTAATTTTGAGGGAGATGGGCAGGAGGTGGTGGGTTGGGAAAAATCTTTCCAGAATGAACTTCAAATTCCAAGAGGATCTTTAATACTAAACAAGTTATTTCAGCGCTTATTGTTTTGGATGAGAAGCCTTTAAGTTTGTTTTCTCTCCATATCACCAATAAAACCTGTGCACATTTAGAGTAGTTTAAAGCAATTTGCCTGGGGATTTGAATTTTGTCTTTTGATTTGAGTTGCTTTGTATAGTTTGGTATTTGAACGTGGGAACAGAAGGAGCAATGGTAGTTTTGAATCCAGGAGTTCTAGGCAGTGGTTAATCGCCTGGGCTCCTTCTGTCCAAGGAGGGTGATAATGATTCATTTCCTCTGTCAGACTCTGCTCTGTGAGAGAGGCTCAGTTTCTTCATATAATCAGAGTTTATGTACATGTGTTTATTTACACAATATGGTAATAAAAGCCTTGCAAGAAGGTAGTTGTTTTGGTTTTTAATACGAAATGCTTTGTGTCATCTTAGGGACTCTTTTTTCCTGAATGTAGAAGGTCAGCATATCGCACTGTTTCCATCCTGGTGAGCCAGCTTTCTGTTTGACAGCACTATCCATCTCAGTTAACACAGTTGCTCAACGTGTTGCGAGCTAACATGTGGAACACGCTGCATTAGATGGCCAAGATTTGATTCTTGGCACTTCCAAAGGGGAATGGGCTTTGCAGAAAACCTGCTCCAAGGGGGCATGTCATCCAGTGCAGTGACCCACACAGGCTGAGCATCTCACTTGGGGGAGCCTTGCTTTTGTGGCATCGCTCTGTTGTGAGAATAGAGGGAAGGAGACAGATTGACTCATGAAGGAAATTAGTCACTGTGCAGAGAGGAAATGGCCACTGCGTTTTTGAGCTTTAACAATGAGCAGGTTCAGATACTGATCTGTCGCTGGATGTGCTGCTCCAGTAACTCCACTAGAAAATAGAAGTTGAATCTCTAATTATTGCAATTAGTCTAAAAGAAAAGACGACTATAGTTTCATCTTTAATGCAGCTATTGCATTCCTCTAACATCTCATGGTGTAATGTTGCGAATGACAGAAAATACCTTAAACATCCATCAGCTAACAAATCTCTTAGTCAGGTTATTTACCTTTACACTGAAGGGCCAGTCCACCAATATCTTTTACACATCTTCAACAAATATTGCAGGCCATGCTGATCTTGAGATATGAAGCTGAAGTATGCAGCATGTTCTGCAGTATCTTGCTGCTGTGCTAGCTTTCTATAAGCTGAGGGGTGAGGTACAGGCGGGGACAGCTAATAGATTTCTGAGATTGTTTTGTTTAATGTGACAATTTATAAATACAGGGCCATAATTTGTTAACTAGAGTTGACAGAAGCGTGCTACTAAATTGGTATTATAACAATCTATTTGGGAACACAACTTTCTGATATTAAAAAGGTGGGAAAAATAAAGCTATTTACTTTATTCATTATGGCTGTAGGACAAGTCTCTTTCTGTTCTAGTGCTTGGAATTGATTTCCATTAGCAAAACATATTAATAAACGGTCACTTAGTTCTTTTTTTATGATCAGCTGAATTACAGGATCTGCATGAGAGGTTGAAGGTCCTCAGGTGCATTTTTCAGAATGCTCTGAACATCATGCTCTGCAAAACAATGATATAAGTAGGTGTCCCCATATCCTCCAGGACAAAGTAAACGAGTTTGTCAAAGCTTTGGTATTGTAAAAGCTGTCTAAGTGGTAACTTAGCGTGTAACAATTGTTGCCTTTTGAGTTGGGAAGGTGTTTTATTTCGGCCCCATGACGCTGAGAGGAACGGCAATTTCACTTCATCCTGCGAGAAGCATCTTGCTTTTGCCTGTTCTTTTTAGAACAGGGTCTTCTGTGGCAGATTGAAGAGCTGGTTGGAGAGGAAAGCAGAGCTGTGGCAGAGGAGAGAATTGCTGTAGGATTTCACTCTGCTGCAGTTCCCCATGGCAGCCCTGCAGAGCTGCTGAGGCTCGAGTTGGTGTGTGTCTTGTGTGCAGGGCCCTGCCTTGAGCTTCCCAGCTGTACAGCAGCACAGCAGAGCCTGGCTGGCAGACAGGAAACATGGCACAGAGTGGTAGATGGTATGTGCCTCCCTGAGGGGTCCTGCTGTTGGGCAGCAGCCTGGAGCTGCAGAGCTCGCTGAGGAGTGATGCTTTGTCTGAGCATTTGAGCTGTAACACACACACAGTGGTCACCTGGCCTGAGCCTCATGTACTGGCTTGTGGTCACTTGGCTTATTATGGATCATTTTTATTCCTGGCTGCTCGGTAAATTGATAATTGATAAGTCTTAGCACAAACAGTGTTGGGACAAAAATGTATCAGGAGGTATACATGAAGGTGGTCCCATGCCTCCCTGGAAGAAGCTCTTTATTCCCACAGGGTTTGGGCAGAACACATTTATTCCACAAACAGCTGGTTGTGATTTTTTGTTGATGGTGGTGGGAGCAGAGATTTTTCCAGCAAGTGCTGCCCTCGTGAAACTTCCCTTTTCTGACAGGAGCTGTGAAATGTCTTCTGGAACAGCATGGGAATTTGTTAACAGCTTGGCACTGGGGTGTGAAAGTTGGTGGTGTAAATGGCAACAAAGGTTTAATAAACATTTATGTATTTTTCTTTCATCACTCCAGTCTACACCTGACAGTAGGGAACCTGCTACACGTGCCTTTTAGAGAGGAAAAGAGTCGTGCTTTAAAGGGACACCTGTTCTATATACAGTTTAATAAAGTTTACGTGCCCTGATGAAAATTTTTTCTTGTGTGTGAGGTATTCTAAAAGGGAATGGAATGGAACAAGAGAATGGAACTGGTAGGAGTACATAGAATACACAGTGCTGAGTGCTGGGACCAAAGTAGTATGAAAGTAGCTGCAATCTGGTGTACCCTGTGTGCTCTCCTGTGGCTTTGGGACCTGCTATGAAAGCTGATTCCCTCCCCTGTGGGGTGGAAGAAGAACAGTGTTAGTTTGATGCTTTTAGTATCTACTTTCTTAGAATCCATGTGAAAAAGAAAACAGTGTGATTTCCTGTGGATATACCTTTTTTTTCTTTTGACTAGTTCCTTGTTAGCTGTTGTGAGTGTGTACATGAAGCTGATGTGGATTGTCTGCAAAAGTTAGCAGAGCTTAATGGGCCATTGAAATGGAGTTTGCCTTCTCCAGTACTTGAGCTCTGTGTGTTGGCAGGGCAGTGTGGAGTGCCTGCCCTGACTGCTCTCTGGGGCAGCTTTAGCCAGGCACTGGCAGGATGGCTGCTTGGGTTAGTTGCTTTGTGTGGCCATGGCAAGGAAAGGGGTGTACAGAAGAGTGAAATGGTGCTTAGATGTCAAGTTGAACAGGAGGAGGAGTGAGAAAACAGCAAAGTTAACACAGGGCAAAAGATCCTTCCCATCCCTATCACTGTAGAGATTGTCAAGTTGTGGTTCTTAAGCAATGTATTGCCTTGAGCAGAGCCATTGCAAGAGGCAGTGCCTTGCATTTATGCCTCAGAGACCTCTCTTGTTGTGACCAGTTTCTTCGAATGCTGTCTGTAGACTGGAGCAGGGGGAGGACTTGTGCTTGCATAGTGCTGTGTGGGGGGGGTTGGAGTGGAAGGCTGGAAGGAGAGGTTGGCAGTGGTCAGTGGGGAAGGTGTAGTACAAGAACAAGAAAGGAAAAAGGTTTAAGTGTCTTGCTTTGCCATGTGGAATTGCAGTAGCTGAACTCAGAGGTGAGTGATGCTCTCTGGGGATTGTGGCTTAGTGAGCAGAGATCGGACATCTCAGCCCTGTCTGTCTTGCATCACTGGAGTGGAATAGAGAATTGTGTTGGGCCAGTCAGTGCCTGGCCAGAGTAGCTGACATCGAGAGGTACCTCAGGTCCTACTCCAGCTTCCTGACTGTGAAACTCTGATATTGCTTGCAGCCACAGGTCAGCTTGGCTTTGGTGCTTCTACAGAGAAGTGTGTTCTGGAGCACTGATGGAGCTGTCTTTGCAGTCAGCTGCAGTAGGAGAGAAAGGTAGCTCTCCTGACTGTGTAGGAAGGAAACCAAGGCACAGACATGTTGAGAACTCTCCTCTGGATTGATAGTGCGCGTGGCTAGGGCAGGAAATAACCCGGGCTGCAAGTGTGTTTGTTTCCTTCAAGGGTTTAAATGCATGTGCTCAGCCCTGCTCGCTGCTGTTAGTTGGAGGCCCCTTGCACTTGTGGCCTGCTTTTTAGTATTACTTCAAAGCACAGACCAGATCTGTGTGACACGGTGTTGTTCAATCATTCCAAGCCCCAGGCTGCTGTGTGTAAGAATGTGGCAGCCAGAGTGCTGTGCTCCTTCACTCAGATTAGCCTTTGTGAG